TTCCGTTCAAATCTTACGTCTTTTAAAAATAGATTGTATTGTTATAGCAAGGCATTTAAATAAATTTCGGATTCCTAATCATTTTCTAATTATCATATATTAATTTCAAACGACCAAATCTCGTACCGATAGTACTTTAAAAAGTATAATCAACTAAATAATAAAATTCATTCCTTTGTTTAAATCTTCTTTTTTATTATTAACATTGAAAAATTATTGTATTAAATCTGCCACAGAACAAAATTTCTTTTGTATCAATATGCATCAAGTTTTTTTTTTATTTACATCAATACAAATGTTTTTATTTTTAACACATAACATAAGTAAAAGAATATGATGACATTATTGCGTTTCATTTTAATAACATTTAAAAATATATGTCTATTTTTATTCTATTCAAACATTTACTTATTAATATAAATTTGATAGTTGTGGTGTTTTTATGCTGTTGACAAAGAAAATGTAGAGTTCCGAGTTTATTTTCTCTCACAACTATCCGCGAAAGTTTTTTATTCAAATATTTTTGACGCAATGTTTTTTTGCATTCCAAAGATCAGTTTGTTGACATAAATGTCTCAAGTCACGTCTATCATCTTTCAAAGAAAGGTAACCGGTGAAAAATCATTCTTGGAAATTTTTTTGTTTTTTTTATTTGTCAATCATTAAACATTAGGTATTTTTTCTTCCAACATAGAATTCATTTTTCTTTGTATAAATAGACTGAAATTTAACAGACTTCAAATCACACGTTTATTTTTGTTTGCTTGCTAACATCATTACACTTTCTACCTGGGAAAAAGAAGCAATGGATAGTGATTTAGCATTCTGTCTTGGCCGATTTATCGATGATCAAGTTCAACTAATTGATGATCAAATTAAAGAAATTAAAAAAGAAGAAATTGAAAAATGCAATAAAATTGAAGAAGAACGAGCTGCCGATATCAAAAATCGACCTCCACCAAAAGATAAAGGTTCACATGATAAAGATAAAGCTCTTGTTGATAAATTCGTTAGTGATCTACGGCAATGTAGTGCAGAACCAACTAAAACAAGAACAGTTATTGATGATCAAACTTGTATAGATTCATTACGTGCAGAACTCTGGACAAAACTAACTGCATCCACAACTTATATCAATCGATTATATAGTTTAGCCAGACCATTACCAAATACAGCCAAATTCACAGAAACATGCCGTGAAACAGTTGAATCTTTTAAACGGCCAAGTGATTTTGATGCCAGTTTTAAAGCATTATATAGTATCATAGAAGAAGATGAAAAAGATCAGGTTATTAATAGTATTCAAAAATGGTGGAAACGTACATATGGAGATATTATATCTGGGATTAATCAACGGAATGAAAGATTTAATAAAGCTGTTACTGAACCTAATTTTGCTGTTCTAGGACCGAACAGTGGAGTAATTCGAAATGCAAAAAAACTTATTGAAGCTAGACAGGAAATTATTGTGGAACCTGGATATTTTGAAGTAGTTCGTGAATTCGTTCGACAACTTTTATTACTCGACCAAGAAAAACGAGAACATACTGATGCTAATGAACTTATTGATGAATTACATAGAAGAGCGATCGAAGAAATTATTGATTATGCAGAAAGATGGCTGTCCGAACGTGATGAGATTCGTAATCAAAAAGAAGAAGATCCATGTATGTTGATTATTATTAATACATTTTTCTTTTTCTATTCTAAAAAAATGTTTTTATCTTGTTTAGTTCAAGTTCAACTTGACGAAGTTAAAGCAGATTATGGTCGACAACGCATGGCTCATGCAGCGCAAAAACTTGCTGTAGCAGCATTTTTGTGTCGATTAGCTGCTGGTTCAAATAATGATGAACAATTTAAGAAACAACTGAAGAATACTGTTCATCAAGAAAAGGAAAGCGATGAACAAAGTCTACCTGTAATTTCTGGTGACATCAGTGATCCACAGGGTAAATAAAACATTTGTGACTATGTGAGAAAACATTTTCAGAAGATAATATATATCTACTTATCATATGTATTTCCTAATATGAATATATATTATTTCTAGACTTTTTCAAAAATTAGTCCTTTTGTTTCCCTTTTAAAATTATTATGATGACTGAAATTTATTTTTTCATATATTTTAGTCGAAGAACTACCGGTAATGTTTGAACTTGTACGGGATACGTCTTTTATGAATCAATTTAAAAATAATTCCAACGGAGTTCAAGAACAATTTATTAAAAGTTTATGTCAAGCGTTTTCTATACCGAGTGGAAAAATTCGTATGAAGGATATTGATTGTGACAAAGCTATTATATGTATATTGATTTCACCACCTTATGGTAAAGGTGTTGTTGATAGTCTAATTGGTAATAGTGAAGATGCTGTTGCTCGAATGGAAGCAATATGTAAATGTTGTAAGGATATCGATGCAAATGTTGAATCAATTACACTTGGTGATTTTGGATTGGAAGTTGAAGGTAGACTAATGGATCCAAGATGGAATAAAAACTATGTTTCGTCATCTAATGACCGTTCAGAAGGAGAGTATTGGGTAAGTCCAATCAATCAAGGTGGTAAACCTTATCATTGCCCTTCAGGTTAGTACAATAATCTTAGCTTATTAATCTATTTACTATTTCTGATATATAGGCTGGAAACGTTTTGGTATTAAAGTAGCCACAGATGGTGAAGAATTTGATGCTCAGTGGGGTACTTGGAATATGGCATACCATGGAACCCAAGGCGAACTTGCATCAGCCATTATTACTTCTGGTCTTAAAGTTAGCATGACCGGATGTTGGCATGACAAAGGAGTACCACGAGTGTATGTCTCACCTAGTATTGAATATTGTGCTCATCCAAGATATGCCCGACCCTGGGAAAAAACAACGAAAAATGGTGAAACAATATGGTATCAATTAGTGTTTCAATGTCGAGTTAATCCAACATCGATTGCCCTTATCAGACCCGAAACAATCCTAGCTACCGAACATAAAACTGAAGTAATAGATAAAAATTTTAAAAATGGCGAGCTAGAGTGGACTATAATAGCCGAAAATGATCAGGACTTTATTAAAGATAATATTATTTGTTATGGCATGATGATGCGTACATCAAAGGTGAATCCAAAAGATCTGACACCATCTAAATGGTGGAAAAAATCGCATTCTGGTTTATGCCCCACATAACACTTTTATCGAAAAGCATTTCGTCGACAGGACACTTCGTTAACAAATCGATTCATTTGTAGTCAGAGGAAGTATAGTTGATTTTAACAGAATTTGAGTGTGGTATAGGGGTGGGCAGAAATAATTCTCAAACACGCCTCCACATTTATACCTATACTCTAGGAGAAAAAGACGGATCCTGACTTCAAAGGATGATGCTATGGGTTTTAATAGATCCTCATAGATCCTTTGGATGCTAGAATGGATTCCGATGAACTCTGATGAATCCTACATGATTCTGACAGATCTTCTATAACTTCATAAGTCCTAGGATCGAGGATCTCCTTCTCTCCTTTGCCGACATCCGCAGCCTAAATCTGTTAAAATCATCTATTCTTCCTCTCATTACAAATGAACTGATTTATCGGCGAAGTATTATGTCGACGAAATGCGTAGTTACTAAACAAAACTTATCTTAGTCGTACTACACTAACATGAAAAATAATATTTTATAGAATACATATAATCAATATATTTTACGAATTAGATATTTTTTTTTTGGTTTTATTATTAGTTGTAATTTTGTTTTATTTTTTGAAAATAAACAAAGAACAACCTGTACACAGTTGTATGTAAGATTCATTTTTGTATAATGTCATTAAAAACAGAATAATGTTTCATATTCATATCTATATTTAGAACTAACTTTCGATACAAATTCGGTAATCATATCATTTATATATAGAATGTAATATTTACTTATTAAAACTGTTCCCTCAATTTAAGTTACAAAGTCAACATTAACGTTTTAGTACCAGCTTCTCATAACAAATGTTTTCAAATATGTAAAGTAACTCTAAAAAATATTATAGTATCTATTAATTCATTTCTTAATATTTATACTGATTATTTCGTATGTTATAGTTTCCGTAGTTTTCAAATATCTGATTTTATCTTCAAGAGATCAACTAAAAACAATTCGATTTTGAATTTAGAGAGATCTGTGCTATCGTCCCCTTCTGGTAAAACAAGGCAATATTGCATTGAATTTACTTCAGATTTACTAGGTATGTATATTCAAAGCAAATAAATAACTACTCATCATTTTTTTGATATCAGAAAAAGGGAATTTTGAGGGATGTAGGTATTTGATTTCAACCACACCCACCCACCCCATCATATTTGTCTTTTCTCGATTTTTTTATTTGATTGTAAATCATTATTATTTATTTCCACTTCATCATCGGCTAAATCACTCATGTATAGAACAATTTTTTGTGTATTCATCTTTTTTTTCTGTACTATTTAAATTAAGTTTAAATTGAAAGTCGAATAAGATACATTTATTTGGTCAGTCATTTATAGCGAACTAGGGAAAGTAAGAAAGACAAAAAACATCAATTCTGTGAAAAAAAAGGTGTCATAGTGAACCTTTTCTTAAGTACCATTTTCAAAACCTTTTTAAATTCCAGTAAAAAATCTAGAACTTAAAATAGTTTTATGCAGATATGCGGAATCAAATAAAGATTTTAGAATTTTTTTCTAGAACCTAAAAATGGGTTCTGAAGATGGCACCGAAATCTAGAATCATAAAAAGTTCTAGCTCTGCGCTAAAACCTTTTATGGTTTACTATGAAACCTTTTTTAAGACAGAAATTGAACACAATATGGTCTGTTTTGACTTTTCCACTTATTGTTTAGTATAAATAACAGTTAAAGTATTTTATTTACTGATCATATAATTTATTAAAAAGTGTTTGTATGTAATAAATGATCATCTGATTAGTTTACTGATCATTCATTCAATCAACTGATTCTTGAATTTTTTATTTTACTGATCATTTCATCTATTGTACTGATCGATTCGGGCCTAGCCTTTTAAAAATAGATTCTATTATTACAATAACGTATTTGAATAAATAATTTCTTCGGCATAAACTAAGTTTCAGGTTCCGTATCATTTTCTAATTATCATATATTAATTTCAAATTAACAAATCTCGTGCTGATGGTACTTTAAAAACTATGATCAACTAAATAATAAAATTCACTCCTCTATTTAAATCTTTTTTATTATCAATATTGAAAATTATTCTATTATATCTGCCATAGAACAAAATTTTATTTTGTATCAATATGCATCAAGGTTACTTTTTATTTACATCAATACACATGTTTTTGTTTTCAAGACATGGCACAAGTAAAAAATATTATGGCATTATTACGTTTCATTTTAATAACATTTAAAAATATATGTCTATTTTTATTCTATTCAAACATTTACTTATTAATATAAATTTGATAGTTGTGGTGTTTTTATGCTGTTGACAAAGAAAACGTAGAGTTCCGAGTTTATTTTCTCTCACAACTATCCGCGAAAGTTTTTTATTCAAATATTTTTGACAAAATGCTCTTTTACATTCGAACGATCAGTTTGTTGACATGAATGTCTGAAGTAACGTTTATGAATTTTCAAGGAAAAATAATTGTTAAATTTTTTTTTGTTTTTTTTATTTGTCAATCATTAAACATTAGTTATTTTTTTCTTCCAACATAGAATTCATTTTTCTTTGTATAAAT